TGGATCTGGACTATTCTTTTGCTGGATCCGGACTGTTCTGTTATTGAGTCTGAAATAAAGTAAATAATGATGATAAATGATGAAGATGATGATGTTACTGGATCTGGACTGGAACTTGCCTTAGAAAAACCTTACCTTTCAGCTCATGTAACCCACTAAAGCCACAAAAATAAATGTCTGAAATAGTTCTTTAAAATCCCCACCTCTGTCACGTTACCTCACAGTTTATGAACCTAATGAACCTGAAGATTCATTATCGACAACAGTCGAAGCACAGAGGAGATCCTGTTTTTGCTCGTGCTGCGTCCACCTGTCTGTGAACATTCTGCATGAGACTTGAGTTTAAAGTTGGTTTTGAGGTTTGACCACAACAGCTCTAACATTATTTCTCAACAGAAAATAATCTTCGGCTAAAACTCGGTTGGTGTCGGTGACATGCATTCCTTCAAGAAATGCTGGAACTTTACTTCCATCCAGCTTTTTTGAAACCTTTAAAACCTTGATCTATAAGAAGAAGCCGCTGATTAGTTTGTATTCAGGAAGAAACTCATTAACTTTTTCTAAAAATGCAAACGTATTCATTTATTTTTGCACAAACAATAAATCATCAGGTAGAAGAACGTAAATAAAATAAAAAAGACTCCCAGATGTTCTTTGATTTCAGCTGAAATGGTTGAAGTTGATACAACTTGAGACATTTTCCTTTAAACATGTTGGATATTGTACAAACAGCAGGTGAGATGTTTGTTTTTACACAGCGAGCAGCGGTGAGGTGAGTGATCCCATGAGAGCCGTCTGTTCAAACATTTCATTTCAGTCAATTTACAGAGAAAAAGTGCTCGTTTTATTTCAAAGCCGGTGCGTTGAACTGCAGAGTCACGCTGAAACGGTCCTAACAGTGGCCGACTGCTGCTCCATCTCAACAGTGAACATCAGGATTTCTGATCCCACAAACAGCAACTAAACAAGAACCAATTTTGGATCAATCGATGTGTCTACTCTGGAAGCAGGTCGTCTCCCAGCACTTCATCTGCAAAGTCATCATCATCCATGTGCTTCTTTGCACCTGTCTTTGGTCTTTCCACCTGAGGCCCCAGTGGGTCCATGTAGGACGCATCTACAGAAACCAGAGGAACAAGGTCTTGTCAGTTATTAATCTGGACTTTAATTAAAAATGTTCAGTGTAGGGGGCACACAACAGGCATCACATCACATAATTTAAAGAAATCCTAATTTTGTGTTTGTCCAGGGTCTTTTTTCTGCTTTCTGCGGATGATGTTTTTCATTCAACCTTTATTTCTACAGGTTAATCTCAGTGAGCCTCGAGGACTCATCTACAGAGAGACCTGCTTTAAACAAAGAACACAGATGAGCTGCAGACAACCACAGACAATCATATAAAAAACATCAAATGAAAAGTAAACAAAAACCGTTACGTTATAAAGTGATGTAAAATACTAAGTGATGATGATGAGTAAAATACTGATGTGGTTCTGTTTGGATCTTCAGCTGATTATGAAGCAGCTGGGAGGAGAGCCTGCTCCTCTGAGGCCACGGTTCCTAACTGGTGTAAGGTCTGAGCAGAGCTGCTGTTCCTCTGTACCAAAATGAGCTCAGACGGACGGACTGTTTCAAGACTAGCTGGAGACTCACAAATGTAAGAAAACAAGATCATTGCAGTCCCATTGAATTCTGAATGTTTGGGACCCAGTGAGGGCAACTGGTAGAGCTGCTGCCTCTCAACGAGAAGGTTGTCGGTTCAAATCCCGGCCCGGGGGCCTGGGTGGAGTTTGCATGTTCTCTCTGTGCATGCGTGGGTTTTCTCCAGGTGCTCCAGTTTCCTCCCATAGACCAAAAACATGCATGTTAGACGTGACCCAAAATGGAAGAAGCGGGTAAAAGATAAAGGATGGATGGGACCCATGAGCATGTAAAGTGTTGTGAATGGTCAGTTTTTGTAAACCACAGCCTGTTTTCACGTGCACACTTGTAAAACTGCATTCTTGGCCATGATGATTATTTTAATTCTGCCCCTCGGCCTGATTTGTACCCATCTAGGCAGGTGCCCCCAAGTTTATCATTTAATCTGCATCCTACAGGTCTCTCTTGTAAATGAGGTCTCGAGGCTCAATGAGACTACCCTGTAGAAATAAAGGTTGAATGAATGAGCAGGCTATACTTTAGAAATAAAACTAGGCAGATTTATTCATCGTCTATGTGGTTTTTAGACCTGGACATTTTCCTCAGATGTTTTCTGAGGAGAGCTCATGGGCAGGAGTCAAAGTGCAGCTCATGCTCTCCTGAAACCAGTTGGAGACGCCCACAATGATCTTTTGATTATTAAAAAAAACAAAACAAAACCCGTGGCACTATTTTCTGAACATGTTTAAAACTCAAGTGACAGGGCTGGGCACCTCTGCATCTCATGTGAGGAAGTGAAGAAGCACCACAAATGTTGCAGGACATTCTGCAGACTCCCTCATGAACGTTGTTAAGCTAGAGTCCAGAGAGAAACCACATGAAGAGGTTTCATCGTGAATGTTTTACTTGGTTGTCAGGGGACTTTAGGTAAAGGTCATGGATGTTTATCAATGTGTGTGAGTTACAGAGTTGTTTAGTCTGATCAGAGAGGAGCCTGCAGGAACACCTGATAACTCCAAGCCTTCTTCTCGTCTGTAAGCTGGAACGCTGAGGTTGTCTTGACCTCGCCTCTGTCTGATGAACGTGTATTAAAGTATTTCCTGCCTCACTGTCCAGATTCTCTTTGATGAGGCTCATGTAATTTTTGCACAGCTGTAAAACTTCCTGGTGACCATGTACCCTTACAATTAAAGACCTGTTAAAATATCTTCTCGTGTCCTCAGAGTGGCTTATTTGAGTAAACAAAAACAGCGCAGGTGATCACTTCAGGGGTCAAGGGATATTAGGCCCACATATGTCTGGTGGTGCTGATCTTCTCAGTTACTTTGTCACAAAACAAAAAGAGTATCTGATTTATTTTACAAGACAAAAGTCCATCAGAGAGCAGGAAGTTCTTTTAAAAAAGTACACATATCTTCTGGATGATGACACACCCCACAGGACTACGTAGTTTATTCATCTCTGCAGAGACAAGAGCTTCTGGGTTTGGAACATTTTTAGTTGCAACATCTGGGCAGATGATGAAGCAATCAGTTCCAACAGTTGTTCCCTTCATTTTCTCCATGTTTGCTACAAATGTTTAAGCATTTGTTACTTTACAAGCATCCATCCATTTTCTTTACCCACTTCTTCCATTTTGGGTCACGGGGGTCGCTGGTGCCCATGTCCAGCAATCACTGTGCGAGGGGCGGGGGACACCCTGGACAGGTCTCCAGTCCATCACAGGGACACATAGAGACAAACGAGACAAACAACCATTCACTCTCTCACTCACACCTAGGGACAATTTAGAGTTACCAATCAGCCTAACATGCATGTTTTTGGTCTGTGGGAGGAAACTGGAGCACCCGGAGAAAACCCACGCATGCACGGAGAGAACATGTGAACTCCACCCAGAAAGGCCCCTGGACCGGGATTTCAACCAGGGACCTGCTCGCTGAGAGGCAGCAGCTCTACCAGTTGCACCACTGTGCTGCCACTAACAAACAAACAAACAAACAAATAAAAAAGAAACAAATTTTAAAAAGCAACAAATGCAGAATATTTTACATGGAAGTTTTAATAAAATCATTATAGATTATCTTATGTTTGAATTTACATCAGCCTTGACAAATTTTTATTTTTTTAAAAGTGGACTAAGAACAATGGTTTTGTCAGAATTTGTCATCTGCTCCTGGTTTTGTTGTTGGCTGATGTGTCTGAAGCAACAAACTCCTCACAGAAAGGTTGATGTGATGAGCACTTTTAGAAAACAAAGCTGTATCTTCAAACATCAGAGGGACACAAGACAAACAGGCTGAATCCCTCAACAACCAAAGACCTGGACACACAAAAATACAAACTCCTCACCGAGTTCTTTCGGGCCGCTGGCTTCGTAGGGCTCATTAGAAGCAGGAAGTGACCTCATCTTGGCGCTGAGACGCTCTCCTCTAGTGCTGCCGCTGCTGTGGCCACTATCTGCGTAAAACAAACGTAACTTGGGTCACAGTCTGTCCTGGCAGTGAAAACAGGTTTAAAAGTGCCCAGAAGCTGAAAGTTACTCAAGTTTAGCATGAACGACTTTAATCCTGTTCTTGAGTATACAGGCTGTAGAGCAGGAGCAAAGCAGAGCTAAAAAGTTGGAGAAGCGGTGGAGGTACAAACCCTCGGTGATCATGGGAAATGTTAACTCGCTGACCAACGAAGCTGACGAGCTGGCTGGACTGGTGAAAAACCAGAGGCTCTACAGGGAATGCAGTGTGCTGCGTTTCACAGAGACTTGGCTTACCAGTGACACGCCGGATGCTAATGTGGATCTACCTGGATTCACCACAGTCAGAGTGGACGGGGACGCACAGAAAAGCAGAAGATGTAAAGGTGGTGTGCTCGCACTATTTATTAACACCAACTGGTGCAACCCTGGACATGTCAGCATGAAGATGAACATCTGCTCTGAGCTGCTGGTGGTGAGTCTCAGACCGTTTTACAGTGCCTTGTGAAAGTATTCGTCCCCCTTGAACTTTTCAACCTTTAGCCACATTTCAGGCTTCAAACATAAAGATATAAAATTTAATTTTTTGTGAAGAATCAACAACAAGTGGGACACAATCGTGAAGTGGAATGAAATTTATTGGATGTGTCAAACTTTTTTAACAAATAAAAAACTGAAAAGTGGGCGTGCAGTATTATTGGGCCCCCTTGCGTTAATCCTTTGTAGCTCCGCCTCTTGCTGCAGTTCCAGCTGCAAGTCTCTTGAGGTTTGTCTCTGTCAGCTTTGAACATGGAGACACTGAAGTTCTGCCCATTCTTCCTGCAGAACAGCTGGAGCTCAGTGAGGTTGGATGGAGAGCGTTTGTGAACAGCAGTCTTCAGCTCTTTCCACAGATCCTCGATTGGATTCAGGTCTGGACTTTGACTTGGCCATTCCAACACCTGGATACGTTTATTTGTGAACCATTCCATTGTAGATGTGTCTTTATGTTTTGGATCATTGTCTTGTTGGAAGATAAATCTCCGTCCCAGTCTCAGGTCTCTTGCAGACTCAAACTGGTTTTCTTCCAGAATGGTCCTGTATTTGGCCCCATCCATCTTCCATCTATTCTGACCATCTTCCCTGTCCCTGCTGATGAAAAGCAGGCCCAAACCATGATGCTGCCACCACCATGTTTGACAGTGGGGATAGTGTGTTCAGGGTGATGAGCTGTGTTGCTTTTACTCCAAACATATAGTTTTGCATTGTGTCCAAACAGTTTGATTTTGGTTTCATGTGACCAGAGCACCTTCTTCCACATGTTTGGTGTCTCCCAGGTGACAAACTTTAAACAACACTTTTTATGGATATCTTTGAGAAATGGCTTTCTTCTTGCCACTCTTCCATAAAGGCCAGATTTGTGCAGTGTACGACTGATTGTTGTCCTATGGACAGACTCTCCCACCTCAGCTGTAGATCTCTGCAGTTCATCCAGAGTGATCATGGGCCTCTTGGCTGCATCTCTGATCAGTCTTCTCCTTGTTCCAGATGAAAGTTTAGAGGGACGGCCGGGTCTTGGTAGATTTGCAGTGGTCTCATACTCCTTCCATTTCAATATGATTGCTTGCACAGTGCTCCTTGGGATGTTTAAAGCTTGGGAAATCTTTTTGTATCCAAATCCAGCTTTAAATTTCTCCACAACAGTATCTCGGACCTACCTGGTGTGTTCCTTGGTCTTCATGATGCTCTCTGCACTTTGAACAGAACCCTGAGACTATCACAGAGCAGGTGCATTTATACTGACTCCAACTGTGTATGTATATGTATATATGTCTATATAGATAGTACATATGTGGATATATATATACAGAACAGGTGTAAGAAGGAAGTCCGCGCGCTCTGAACCGTGGAAGCTGAGCCACGAGTTTAGCTAACGTTTGGCTAACAAGCTGGCCAGAGAGCTGCTTCGGCTAGTGAGGCCTGCGGAAACCTGGTCCGCCGCCGTTTGGACCTGCGAGCCGCTGAAACTGAGCCGTTTACGGCGGAGACCCTGTCCGCCACTGTTTGGACCTGCGAGCCGCTGAAACCGAGCAGTTTACGTCGGAGACCCTGTCCGCCACTGTTTGGACCTGCGAGCTGCTGAAACCGAGCAGTTTACGTCGGAGACCCGGTCCGCCACTGTTTGGACCTGCGAGCCGTTGAAACAGAGCAGTTTAGGTCGGAGACCCGGTCTGCGGCCGATTGGACCCGCGAGCCGCTGAAACCGAGGAAGCTAAACTACAGCTGTGGGATCTGGGAGCTGTTGCAACCGGGACCTGGTCTGTCACCACTGGGGCTGCGAACTTCTGGACCGAGTGAATCGTGAGACCGCGTGGGACCTGGAGGTTGTTGCCGCTAGGCCTCGGCTAGACCTGGCTAGGCCTCGGCTAACAACACAAGCTAACAACATAAGCCTGTGAACCTCGTGGCTAGATCCTGTGCTTCTGAGAGTTGAGACCAATAATCCAGAAGTATCGTGAGTAATGCCGAGCAAACACAGAGATAAGAGACAAATGTCGGAAAATAATTCTGAAGATATGGAGGAAGTTAAAAAATCTTTGAACTTTTTGAGTGCTGAACTGACTAAATTGAGTGCTGATGTGACTAAAATAACAGCTAAATGTGAATTACTGACAGGATTATTGAGCATGCATCATGATACTGATAGGACTGTTTGAAGAAGTGAGACAATTGAAAGAATTGATGACTAATAAAGACAGAAAAATAGCTGAACTGGAACAGAAAGTAGACGACATGGAACAATACACAAGACTAGACAACTTGGTGATCTCTGGACTGGAAGTTAGGAACTGAACTTATGCAAGAGTTGTTGCTGGTACTAACATTACAGAAGATGTACCACAGGAAGAACTACAGACTCTGGAGGAGCAAGTAGTGAATTTTTTACAAAACAAAGACATTGACATCGAACATGAGGACATTTCAATCTGTCACACACTGCCCAACAAATCAGATAAAGCCAAACCATCCATAGTCATCAAGTTCATTAGCAGGAAATCAAGAAACAAGGTAATAATGCAAGCAAAAAAACTGAAGGGAACAAATGTTTACATAAACGAACATCTATCTAAAAAAATGGAAATATTGCACGTGAAGCCAGGTTGTTAAAAAAACAGAAAAAAATAGCATCAACTTGGACAAGAAATGGAAACATCTGGATCAATCTACAGGAAGGATCTCAGGCTAAAATAAAAGACCTGAAGGATCTGGAAAAACTAAAATGAGCTCAGGAGAGGACAGATGATAAATCATTGACATAACTTCACAAACAAGAAATTAAGAAAATATAAAACAAACAAATACATTATAACATGGCAACATACGAAGACTTAGAGTTTAAAATATACAATGTTGAAGATGCGATTGATACAAATTTTTTCCCTGCAATAAAAGACTGTGAATATTACAATGAAGAACAGTTTAATGACATCAATATAACAAATGGAGGTCTCTCTATTATTCACTTTAATAGTAGAAGTTTAAATGCAAATATATCCAAAATAACAGATTATTTAAAACAGCTAAACAGAACCTTTACAATAATAGCACTGTCAGAGACATGGCTCAACGATGAAAACACAACTAATGTTCACATGGAAGGGTATGAATTATATCATGTGAACAGAAGCAACAAAAGAGGTGGTGGAGTGGCTCTATTTGTTAAAAATGAAATAAAATGTAAATTAATTAATGAAATGCCAATAATTGTTGATATCCATCCATCCATCCATCCATCCATTTTCTTCCGCTTATCCGGGGTCGGGTCGGGGGGGTAGCAGCCTAAGTAGGGAGGCCCAGACTTCCCTCTAACCAGCCACTTGGTCCAGCTCTTCCGGGGGAATCCCGAGGCATTCCCAGGCCAGCCGAGAAACATAGTCCCTCCAGTGTGTCCTGGGTCTTCCTCTGGGCCTCCTTCCGGTGGGACGTGTCCGGAACACCTCACCAGGGAGGCGTCCAGGAGGCATCCTAACCAGATGCCCGAGCCACCTCAACTGGCTCCTCTCGACGTGGAGAAGCAGCGGCTCTACTCCGAGTCCCTCCCGGATGATCGAGCTTCTCACCCTATCTTTAAGGGAGAGCCCAGATACCCTGCGGAGAAAACTCATTTCGGCCGCTTCTATCTGAGATCTCATTCTTTCGGTCACAACCCAAAGCTCGTGACCATAGATGAGGGTGGGAACGTAGATCGATCGGTAAATTGAGAGCTTCACCTTTTGACTCAGCTCTCTCTTCACCACGACAGACCTGTACAGCGCCCGCTTCACTGCAGACACTGCACCTATCCGCCTATCGATCTCACGCTCCATTTTTCCCTCATTCGTGAACAAGACCCCCCCCTAATTGTTGATAATATCATGGAAATAATAACAATAGAAATAATAAACAAGAATGATAAAAACATATTGATAAGTTGTGTATATCGATCTCCAGGATCAAATATAGAAATATTCACTGATAAAATCGTACAATTATTGGACAAGAGTTTTAATAAAAGCATTTTTTTCTGTGGAGACTTTAATATTGACCTGGGAAATAAAACAGATTCAAATAACATCAGTACATTTACAAATTCATTGTGTAGTTTAAATCTTTATCCGTTAATATCAAAACCAACAAGAATTACAACTCATAGTGCTACAATAATCGATAATATTTTCACAAATGTAACAAATGGGGATGTGATGGGAGGTATTTTAACGAGTGATTTGAGTGATCATTTACCAGTTTTCATGATTTATAAAAATGATCAAAGCATTACAAAAGAAATCACAATTAAGAAAAAACAATAAACACATCAAAAAAAGCAATGGACAAATTAAAAGATGATTTACATAAACAAAGCTGGAAAGACGTGTATGTTGATGATGTGAACAGATCATATGATGAGTTTATGAATATTTTAGGAGCTCTGTATGAAAAGAATTGTGTGCAAAATAATTATACAAAG